TGAGAGTTCAGTAGGTTCGAGGAACTCTTTGGGTAAATGTTCAAATAGAGGAGCTGCCGTCTTTACATAAGAAATAAGAAAAAATAAATAAGACTTAATTTTAGTCACTTAAAAAATGAGATAACAGTAGATATAAAATGTGAATACAGAAATCCAAGATATTGAAGGGATGATACGAGGATATAGAAAAGGTGAATAGCCTAGGATAGAAGGAGAGATACCACAACTGTTTAGCACACACTTGTTCAAAGGATCGACTTCACTTGTCTCTGACGAGTTGTCGTGTGATGCTAAGAATGGCGAGACTCACTGACGATGACGGCGAAACGTCTGGAAATGTACCACGTTCACGGTCTGAATCTGGAAATGATCATGCATACTATTGACTCCGGACAAGGTGCGTTACTCAAAGTCTTCCTTTCAATATGACCAAGTTGCGAAAACAAAGTCAAACAATTTCTAAGAATGTTAGTATTAATTTTTCATTAGGGATTTTGCCTTAGCTTACATCAAAACTCTTTATTTATTTATATAGAAAGAGACGGCGAAAGAGAAAGGACAAGCAAGCATTAAAAAGGAATCCGGACAAATCTATGATGCATTTAAGTATAAGAATGAGCCAACATGAAAATAAACTGGAATAGCGTACGTTATTCTTCCCCAAAAGTGTTTCTGATTCTCGCAAAGGCCAATATCGTGTGGATCTCTCGAGGTGCTGTCGAGCTTAAAACAAGAAAAAAACATATAAAGTTGGATGAAGGAATGAAGTTCAGTTTGTGAATTTGAGAGCAGACAATCTTTTATGGACATTTTTAAGAGTCCCTAAGCTAATTCAAGTCTTTTTTACAAAATTAATTTAGGTTGTATTTATCAGGCCATTAAGATCAAATAATTAAAGACAGGAAAAGTAATTATTTTAATGTATAATCTATTCATTTGCAATAAAAGTGTTATAGTCAACGCCTCCGTAATGAATAAGAGCTATACCTCGAGACCAGTCACCTGACCTAATGAAAGATAAAAGATTGGAGGATATGATGTTGAAATTGTATAGAGCAAAAGTTATAAAGAGCTAAATGGTTCTATGCGTGTTCAGTAAGATGCAGTGTGCAGGAATGATGAAGATTGAGCTGAAATGAGATGATCAAAATAGCTTGTTGGAATTGTGTTGCCAGCATGAAGACGCCAATGGATGGGACTTCTCGGAAGCTCAACGCGGATAGGCGTAGAATTGAAGTCGGTCCTGCGGCAAGGTGATAATGCTTCTGCGTTGCATAGATTGTCCTTTACATACGTAGACACAACTAAACAGTTGTTGTAAGGGCTCGCGTGGGATATGGTTTCAAGCTGAACGCGGTTTGCCTTGAACGGAGAAGTGACCGACTTCTAACTTTGCAGATTCTTATGGAAGGAGTGGCTCACAAAATTGTAGCACACACTTGTGGAGACACGTGAAGGTGCACGCATTCGACATCAAGGAAGATGGCTGTTAGCTTGACGATACGGCACTGCCAGAGTGAAAGGCTCAATGATGTAGAAAAGAGCATCGTGGCTTCCACAGACATGATGTTGAGACAGACCGACAGTGGTACGTAGTGACGAAAACGGGCAGCCTCAAGAGACAGGGCCCGGTTGAACTCGGTAGACACAAAGTACTTCCTGATTAAGACATTTGCGTGATTTGAGTATTGGCTTCTAAATGGTTTAAAGGGTCACGATTTGATAAGTCCATAGGTAGGCTCGATGTGGTGGCCAGGTTCCTTTGGCCGCCACGACACAAAATGCAAATTAGTCATGTTCTGAGTAGTCTTTCTTAAAAAGTGTCAGGCCATAGTTGTATACATGATGAAACTAAGTGTTTTCGGAGTAATAGAGATAATTCACCAATAGGATGGGGCTGATCGTTTTTTATCATCAAGGTTATCATGGGAAACTCAAATATTAAGTACACTAATACATTTCGAAATTCGGAGGATTTATTTTGGAACGTATCGGACAAGTAAATAGCAAGCCACCTGGAAGAAAGCTGCATTCCTTATATAAAATAATCAAAAATCGAGTTATACTAATAATTACTTAATTTACTCGAGTAAAATGAGATAATCTAGAGTAATTCCATCAAAATATTTTATATTAAGACTATGAAACGAAACTATGAAACTATGAAAGTCATTAATTGGCAAAATCAACCTTTGTACATGCGAAATACTATAGTTAATTTGGAGGACTCCTATCTACCTCGTCCTTTAGGTAAAACGGGATAAGAAAGTCTCGCTGATGCAGGTGCCAGTCGTGCGGGTTTGAGTAACTGGGTAATAAAAGCATGGAGCTGAAAGTCGTTATCAAGGCAAGAGGATTCTTCCGCATCATCCTGTGAGGCGGGAGCCTGGGAGATCGAGAGAAGTGGAGGGTGAGCCAGTGGCGCAGTGGTGGCTAACACATGAAGATACATAACAGAGCCGTGGCAAGTGAGCAGAAGCACCTCATTGGTGGGGAAGCAAGATGATGCACTGTTTACTTCAAATTGAATCCCACGTGGCCAATGCGCCAGCCGATGCGCCAGAGCCACTGAACGGCCTAAAAGAGTTAATTGTCACACCCAGAAAAAGACAATTCCATTAGGAAATAGGATCAATAAAAAAGTTAATGGTTAATTAAAGTCATCAAAAAATTAATGCAATCAAAGAATTGATGATTATCATATACACAGTCTTTCTCATTTTCGTATGATGATTGTCTAAAAACAGTAAATAACAGAGTTAAGCAGATAGCGTATAAGCAAGCATCAGTGAAATATAGCTTAGTAATCGTGATATTAAGATAGCCATATTATGATATGTGAATTCCAATCAGCGTCCGGATTTATAATAAAGACAATGGCAAAAGACTAACCGCTAAGTACAAATTGTGCCAAGCAAACTGAGGCTCTGTTGCCAACGTCCGCCAGTGTAGCCCGATATGCATACGTAGAGTAACGAAGAGATTCTATGTAAACAAAGAATAAGGTTAAAAAGTGGTTAGACCTAAAAGGAATTTGAAATAAGCAAGAAATTCCATTGGGAAGTAGAATGTATTTATAACTAGATCACAAGCTTATATCAAAGGATTAATTATGTCTGAGACAGAACAGTAAGTAGAAGGATGCCCCAAATAATACCAGATCAAGGAA